ATCAAAATTTTCTCTTAGATTTTCGCCAAAGAAGAGAATCTAAATTCCTGCAAAAGGCAACAATACATGTCACTTAGCTATTCATAAGAAAGAAAAAGTCTTTTTAGGAGGTTTTCAATGCCTCAAAGGCTGAAATTAACATCACAGTAACACTTCCCGAAATGATTTCATTCCTCCACAATCAGGCCTGACAGAGTTCAGTCCGAAAGCTATAGAAACTTCCAATTACTGCAAGTCTCTTTTCTCGTGTTCTTTTGTAAAGAGTATCGGAAATTCTCCTGTCTTAATGATTCTTTAGAAATCCTCTTCAAGGATTGAATATCCGAGAGAAATGTTGCATTTATATCAATTTAATTTTCTCTATTAGTATGAAATAGACAAGTTTATTCTGTAGCGGGAAAAACAAGTATTATACAGATAATGCAATAGACATCGTGGACATTTTACTCGGAGCGTAGGGCATCTTTCCCTCGACAATATCGCCATAAATGCTGTTTCTTTGCCGATTCCAAGACATTGTTCACAAGTGAATTATCAGGGTATCCATCGTGAAACTAAGTCATCGATGACAAATTGACTTTTTCTTTAGCAGTAAAAACTTGCTGTAGAAATGCATTGGAAGGGCTAATTTGGCAATTTGTTAGTAATGGATTACCGCCCCTCTCCTTTTATTCAATCACTGGCAATTTGTTGTAGGGTAAAATGTGGGAATTGTCGGCAACTAAGCGAAAAAATCCTCATGAATGTTAAAAAGAATGACTAACAAATAGATACAAGAAAACATACTTTACACGAACAGCAGTTTCATTGAATTAAAGACAAATAAGGCAGTGAACTCCTACTCGTTAGCGATATCACAGGTTTTATGTATCGTCATTTTAAAAAGGGTATAAAAAACGCAGATAAGTAAGTTAATAAAATTGTTTTTATTGATTAAGAGCAAAGGTTATTAATATAAAAATCATCAGTCAAAGTTAAGTCTAATGAATTTCCCTGCTAATTAAATATGCTGGTTCATCTTTTCCTCTTCTTTGTTGAAGACATAAGTCTTTGAAATACAGTATTAAAAGAAGAAAAGTTTTTTTAAGAAAGGAAAGATTCCTCACTATATATTTGTTTGTCTGAGTATGTAACATTTGTCGACATTTTACATGTACCCTGTAGAAGATCATATCTAGATGAGTGAAAAACTCTACGCTATGTAGGGCTCAAAGCTACAGCTAATGTCATTCCAAGTTTTGTTCTGCGTCTACCAATCTTTTAAAACCATATTATCCATCTATTCACAATAAAAAAAACCCAAAAACATAAAATAATGACATCATTCAAAGAATTTGATTTCATTTATCTATATTTTTCTCATATAGAGAGATCTTTTTCTTAACAAAATAAAGTATAACTTATCTAATATGTACCTTTTCGCAGGTTTTAGACAAATATTGAGAGAAAGAAATTGATGAAATTCAAAGGATTTCATTTTTGGAGTAAATTTCAGGACTCTTGATTTTGTTTGATTTCTCTGCTATTGGTGTCAAATACCAAGGCGCATGCAGACACAGAATCACAGAAAAAAATGGAATGGCTATAATAAATCGAGCTAGCGGATAAGCATTTGAAGAATAAACATAATACTCAAAGCATTATTTCGTTGTAGAATGCAACCCCTAAGATCATCATAGTTAAAATGCGGTCTTTTCCTCACGCGATGCGAGGGAGTATCCTTGCAAAGAAATGTAAAGAATATACTGACCAAGTTCGAAAGTCCAATAAAAAACAATACACACTGGGAACAGCAAATTGCACCTCTAAAACATCAGAGGTGGGATCAGATGTCATGGAGGAGTAATCATCCCCTATCGACCGGTCACACCCACCAAGTAGTCCTTATGATCAGGAAAACGGAAAAAAAAATCACCATGTACATGTATTCAGTGTGAAAATAATGGCACAAAAATTTCTTTAAAAACTTTAGTCAGTGTTCGAATTAAGCAGGGTGCAAGCTTCCTCCAGGAAGGGTTTATAACTCAGATAAGTTCTATCTTTCCTGGCCTAGTGGCTTTTGAAAAGATTTTTAAGGATGGTATTCAGTTTTCACTAATTCTTAAATCCCTTTGGAAGATGGCATGGGTCTTTACTTGAACCCGAAGTTTTTGACGAGACTGTAACTCTACTAGAAGAGGAGAAAAGTAGGATTTAAATTTGAAACTTTGCAACATCAATAAATTAAAAATTGTTCATTGATTTAGTCATTTTCTTGACAAGAGTTTTACTGAAATCAGACAAAAAATGAAGGAGGAACAACATTTTGAAAATTTGAAAAAAGTAATTTCTATTTTAGTAACCATTTTAGTAACCATCGAAAATCAAAAACCGATAAAAAGAATTAAGTATCTTAGTGTAGTCACTTGTGTGCCATGGTATACTGAAACCGGACAAAAACTGTACAAGGAGTAGCATTTCAAATATTTCAAAGAAGTTCCTATTTTTGTAACAATGGCAATACCATTCATCGAAATTCAAACACCGATACAAAGAATAATGTAGGTGAAGTCTACTTGTGTGCCAACTTATACCGGTATTGAAATTAGAACAAAGTTGTAAGAGGAGTAGCATTTTGAAAATATTTCAAAGAAATTTCTTTCTTTAAAGTAACCATGACACAACCATTCATTAGTGTAGTCTACATGTACTTGTGTGCTAAGTTATACTGAAATCGAACCAAAACTGTAGGAGTAGCATTTGGAACAATTGTTTACAGACAGACGGACGGACGACGGACACCTTACTATCGCATAAGCTCTTCTGTCTTCGACCAATAGAGCTAAAAACTTCATTTCCCTTTTATACTCAATAAAAGACTTTGGCTGAAATTGACCTAGGTCTTTTTTTTTAAAGTCAAAATGTGAAAAGTTTACTAACGAATAGACAGTCGAGAGCCAGACAGAATGTAATTAGAAAATCTTAGGTATTTTTAATAAGGAGTAAAAACATCATATGAAAAAAGAATTATATGTATATTAGAATAGAGATTTATTTAGTTTTATCCTCTTTGGTGTGTGTTTGTCATTTCAAAGAGATAATGATTTTAGTTCATTTGAGATTGTCGCAAATTACATGGATTTTACATGAAATATGCAGTAATGTACTCGTGTGGTTAAAGATTTTTTTTTTTCATTTTTTAATATACAATGTATCGATCCATGAGCATTTTTCAATACAAATGTATTTATTTTAAAACTGTTCATGCATACATTCATACTTTATGCCAATTAAGGATAATATTGCAGTTGAAGTATTGCATCAAGCTAAATCAGGTGGAACGGAAAAGTTTTAAAAATTTATTTAGATACAAGACAAATGTTGTAAAAAAATAGTTAGAGGTTGTTCACCTTGCATCAATTGATGCGCAGTTAATAACTGTAATTTCAGTGCTAAATAATTTCTACAAAACCCATATTTTCTTTACATGGGGGAATTTTTAATATCTTTTTTAAATGCTTATTTAGTAAACAACAAATAAATGACAATCAATCGCTATTAAAACTTGGGGTGCAGCCGATTTGGACCGTGCAGCTCAATTCAGACGAACTGTAATGGATTTCACGAGTGCCGGGTGCATTCGATATTACAAATTTAATGTAATATTAACTGTCTTACTAAATGTCTGTTTAGAAGGTTGTCAAACTGATACACAGGAAACCCAAAAATCTAGTAGAATTTCATGTAGAGTAGCGTGTAATTTTGTTCAACTTATTTGATATTTTTGTCGCATTCACAAAAATTCCAAATGCTTTTTTCGAAAACTAAAACATCTTATCATCTATATAAGGTTTCAAAGGAAATCAATAGGAATCTTTCTTCTTTTTTTAAATTAATGACAAGTAGACAGGATTTTGTTTTAATTAAACGAATCTTAAATCTGTTTTAACACATTTTTTTCGGAAATCGTTAACGATATATGTGGGACTTAAATGGGCTTAAGTATAATTTATTTAAGTACTGCATTAGCATTACAATTATTGAATTATTAATTCTTTGGGTTTTTTTTTTTGGGGGGGGGGGTTTCATTGTTTGTTTGTGTTGTTTAACGTTTCTCTCGAGAATTTTTCACTCATATGGAGACACCACCACCTACCGATGGAGAGCTGCAAATTTTGTCTTGTACTCGGCACTTACGACCAGTGAGCAGTGAGGGATCTTTTTCGTGCGACACGGGGCGTCAGTTTATACGGTCTCATTTCCGAAAGACCGGTCTCCATGTCCCACTGTGGGATTCGAACCCGCGACGTAAGGATCAACTCCTAACTTCGCAACTCTAGAGCAGACGATCCAGCCACTGCGCCAAGCAGCCAACTTTTTATTTTATTCTCAAAACAAACTGTAATTTTGATCAACATTTACACTTGACAATGTTACACAATTTTTAAGTTGGTTGAAATGATTGATTAGTTGTATGTTGTTATAAGTCTCTTCAAGATTTTTGCAAGAAATGTTTCCCTCAAATGAGATTTTGGTGAAGGGCTCCAAATTTAACCTTGATAAGCATTTCAGACCATTGAACAGTGGTGTTTTTATCATACAAACGTCCGTCGTGACATTGGACCTAAGTTTTTAAGGTCATATCAGAAAGACCCGTCAGTTTCACGTCTAGATCTTATATCGGGTTTCTGGCGAAGGAACAGTCACTACCTTTGACATACCTCTTAGATCTGACGCAGAATGGGTATCAGAATACTACGTACTAGTAACTGGTCGAAAGTCAAACGTGAACAGGTTGACGTAATAGGAACGTTAATTGAAGAAGACAGTTTTTTAATGCAATATTCAACTTTTTTTTCAAATATTTTTTTCAAATATAAAAAAAAACATTGTAAGCTTCTTTGTAGCATCTTCACATAAAATATATAGAAAAAAATATAATTTATGAGAAAATTCACATTCTTTGAACGATGTTCGTGTATAATTATCCTTGTTACACAAATATTTTAAAAAACAAAAGATGGGGGAAAATTCACGTCACTTTATTTCAACACCAAAACAGACACATGTAGTTCTATACAACGTTTATGTGGATTTCAGTGCTGTTATCACAGGACAGCAATATGTTTATTTTATTTCCATTTATACCGGAATCCTCAGGCCAATGTCTGCCTACTGCCTATCATCTGTTCTATAGAGGTCCCGGGACTTCCTCCTTTGCTGGCGGTAAAATTCGCATATCTGCAAAACAGTATAACCATGTACTGGGTATTCAGGATCAGTGGTAGCCAATAATTAAGAAATTAAAAAATTTAAAAAGCAAATGATCATCAAATAATTTGAATAACACAACACAGAGATTAGCCTGGTACCTGGTTCAATTTCGGTATCTTGAACTTGGGTATCTCAATGTCGAATGCTATGGATAGGTCAAAGTGATATTGATGTCCCAATTTAATTAAAAAATCTTAGTCTTTGAGTATTAATATTTTACCTTGGATATCTCGATCTCTCGGATATCTCGAGATTTATTTAGCCCCATCAAATTTGAGATAAGGAATGATTGATTGATTGTATATTGTTTAACGTCCCTCTCGAGGATTTTTCACTCACATGGAGACGCCACCATTTGCCGGTGGAGAGCTGCAAATTTTGACCTATACCCGGCACTCAGGGCCATTGAGGATTGTTTATAGTCGGTTTATACGGTCACATCCGAAGGACCGAATGATTGAGATAAGGAAGTTAGACTGTATTTAACGTACAAGGAATTGTGATTTAAGGTTAGGGGCATTTATTTAAAGAACCAGTAATTGTGATACAAGGGTAAGGACATTCTTCAGATGAAAATACTTATGCATCATTTATATGAGACTAGAATGAAATTTAGGACTCTACAATTTACTCAAGATGCTAAGTCAGAAGTACAGACAAAATATTGTTTCTTATTTTCATTGCTGGAGAAGTATGGAAATGATATCTTGTCGTGACATTCCCACAATACTGCCTTATCTCCAGCTACTGAATTACATCAAATACTTCTGTTATATGTCCATTGTTAGGGCCCTTTTTGGTGCTGATGGCAGATTAAGCACATTTGCATGTATCAATGCTGACCTTTTATCCTCTTTGAGAACTCTTCTGTGATCGAAGGTCTCAAGAGTCTATGGTAATCTGAAAAACCATTTAATATTTCGTGTCTTTATAATTTTACTTCTCTATTAACAAAGAATGATAAAGAAACCTTGTACAATTGTTTTTCAGGAAGAGTTAAAGGCAGCTATGGATATTTTAATTCTTCTTCTTTTATCAAATTCAATAAATAGCTATCCTGCAATTTAATCTATCTAAGTACCACCTTTTAAAAAATTATTTTCATTTATGATATTAAATGATTGAACTTAAGAACAAAATTTTAATACCAGAAACATGGTGAACTTCAGATATTGCTGTAAATTTGATAAGAAACAAAATAAACTGAATTATGTCAAGTGCAGCATTAAGAGATTTATTTTTAGTGCTGATCTGCAGGAAGACAATTGTTAAATCCCTGAACCATTTTGGAACATCAATATAAAATTGCTTTGGACTCATTATGTTGTTATACAAGAATTGTTGGATCCTCTATGGATGTTGCAAAAAATATGTAATAAAATAAGTATAAATTGGAATTCCTAAAAAATGTTTAAAACTGTTTGTGTATTTTTTTATTGAAACAAATCTAGATAATTAATAAGAAAATGGTCCAAAAATTAAACCAGTTAACTTATGAAATCTGACGAAAATGACAGACTAATGACATATTCACAAATTACTCCTTGGAGCATCTTTAAATCCAAATTACACTAATGATATTATGGAAATCTGAATACCACAAATTGCTGACCACTAATTAAGTTAACACTGGTACAGATCAGGGACTTCATTTCTTCTATTCCAATAAAGACTTCCGGATTTACTCAATTCCTTCATCATCAGAAGAAAGAACCTCTCAACACTTGAAAACTGCTGTGAATGAAACTCAAACTTTCACACAAAGGTCAATTGTTTTCTCTTCACTCTGAAACCTTGTTATGCAGTGGCCCAGAATTATGGGAAACACAACGAGACTACTTCTGTTGGCTTTGAGTGGTGCTTAAAGGAATCATGAATGAATATTGCAATCAACATCTGTCTGGAAAGATGGGGTTGAAGAATCCACAATTACAATATGAAGTTGACAATTAGGAGAGATACCAGTGAACAAGATTGGGAACTTTTGGAATTCCTTTGTCAAAGGCTATAGCTTTGGAGAAAGTAAAAAGAATATTACATGTATATGCATGCACACAAAAAATAATTTTAAAGTTTTTGATTCTTACTATAAATTTTAATATTTATTTAAATTGTACCTTACACAACATTTAATATTTTTATCATCAAGAAGTGTTCATTATACAAAAGGTCAGAGACAATATCCTTATTTTGATCTTGGAGAGGCAATTAGCAAAGGTGGGGTTGTCAGATATTGATTTTATAAAAGGGGTATTATAATGCCTTTCTTAAATCAACAATAATTTATGCTGATTTTAAATGGAGTAAAATTCTATTTCCTTTTGAATAAATTTATAATATATCTATTAATTTCTCAAATTGAAAGTACTTACTTAATCTCACAATTAATTTATTTATAATTGTAATGAATGAAGCATTTTCAGACTTAAGTTCTTCACATTGATAGTCCATAAAACCATTGGTTGTGATTAAGATGGATATATTATATATTTTTTTTATTTGTAGAAAGAAACAAAACTGGTACTACATTTTTTTCTTTCTCCATATCTATTAGATATACTAATAAAAAAAAAACACACACAAACAAATGAAAATATTAACCAAAAAAAATAAATTACCTTTTTACAATTTACCACATAAAATTTTCATATTTTTATTAGATGTCAACAAAACTGTTGGTCTTCACTGCAGGAGAGATGCAGGCCATAATAACATTGAGTGCACAATTATTTTTGACAGATGAACTATTGTGCTCAATATGATTGCAAAGTTGAAATTAGAAATGCACAAATAATGAAACATTTCTTTTAGAGGTGTGTAAGGTATAGAAAAATAGAAAACAAATTAAAAGCATAATACCCATAGAAGTAAAAATTACTTTTTTTATGTGAGAAAAATGCTTTTGGTAAACCCTTTTTATACAAACAAGGAACTACAGCCTTGAAAGCCATCATAATTTCATGTTTTCAAAAAGGCAGAATTCAAATTTGTCTAAATCACAAAGCAGCTGAATGAATCTCCTCCCTTTCTAAATATCAAATCTAGATGAGCAGTTTCAATCATAACATTTGATTTATCTTATTTGTCAAAAGTACATGTTTTTCATTCAGAAGAGAGACAATACATGTTACAGAGGCATTTTTCTCGTCAATAACATGACTAATAGACATTGCACAATGTCTCCCAAAGTTCTTTCAAACTCTTCTTTTGTGCACCGAGTTCTCATCATAGGCAGTGCGGTGTGTTGGCTTTTTGTTGTATCTTGCCTGTAATTAGTTGCTTCAGAAAAAGATATTTGATTTTTTGACACAGACAATAAAGCTTTCCTACTATAAATGCGGCAGGTATTGTCCGCAGCTGAATAAGCCCATTTCAAAATTTGTTTAACCAGCCCTCCTATCAATTGCTACCACTGGTTAATTTTTGACTCTATTTGACATTCCTTTCATAGCCCTGACGGTTATCATCGCACCACAAGCTCTAATGGAAAAAGATGAATTAAAGTCATTGTGCGACCTTTCAAAATCTCCTTTGGAGAGAAAATAGCCTATTGAAGCATGTGGATCTTTAAAACATTTTGGTTAATTAGATGAATTTGTAAAGTTTAGTCAATCATAAAATATTCAATCATATCCATTAAATTGGCCACTATATGTATGGTTTTCCTTTTCAATCAAAGGAAATTTATTGTGTCTCAAAATCAATCATTGATAACCAACCTTGGACCCTAAAAAAGAAATTCTATAGCACAAACCTGTCAAATATGTAACAGAGTAAAAGCCTCGGAATCAATTGGACTTTGTTGCTGGAGTATTTATCTTGGAAATTGAGTTGACTTGCTGTTTTTTATCTCTTTACAATAAACCAAGACAACAAAGGGAAAAAAGTACAATCATACGATAACACTGTATCCGGTAACTAAACCAAGAGAAAACCGGGCCGGATACCAGAAGCTGGTGCATGTCTGCAGAGTATGCACCGTATAAATTACCGGATAATCAGAAAAAAAACATCAAAAACATCCCCTGGTGGATATTAATGACCAGGAATCCCTAAAATGCCACAATGTTGTCACATTATTACTTCTAAATTATTATCTCTGATTTAAAATAAATCCCCTAACTTTATCAACATCTTTACAATGTCTTACTGGGAAATGGCACAACCAAGAGACATCCCCTACAAATCATATATCATTTAAAACCTGATTTATATTGCAGATATCTTTCATTCATAAGAGCCATTTATTGCTAACATAATGGGCATTGAATGTTTTCATGATACATTGAGGTCATTTTTTATTCATACAGAAATAAATTAACTACAGTTATTTGATATCAAATTTATGCTACAAATATATTTAACCATAAACAAAAATTAAAGGGAAATATAATCAGCTTTTCCTTGAATCCTGTGTGTACTCTTGTTTCAAATACTCTCTTATTTTTCTAAGAATCTATTTAATATAAACACCTTTGCATTGAAAATTGCTTCTTAATATGTTTAAGAGGTCATTAAAGATGTAAATATCTTGTCATGATGAGACTCCTCTTTTTCAAATTTAAAACTGTTAAACAGACTTTTAAGGAGTAGTCACTTAATCTTATATATCAAAGTGAGTTTATTACATTGTTGAACTTGTGTTGGTACTGCGAGAATGAAGTTTGCAGCTCGATACATATGGCAAAGGATTAGGGGTCCAGAGGTAACTCTGGAAATGAAATCATTAAGATGGATATTCAAAGTCTGAATTTTTTCAATGCCCAGGCATAACAGGCTCACAGTGACAAGCCATACTTTGCTTGCTATTGAAACTTCCCATAAAATATTGTAAAATCACATAATTAAATTTTGTGGGGTCAAATTTTTCTTGGCTCATGGGGATCTTATTTCATGGATGAATAATTGTTGAGTGGTTAGCATATGGCATTTTATATTTTGTGGTGTATTTGGAACTCTTTATAAAC